AGGTTCAAGACAACTCATTTTTTTCAATTATGATTGGCATCTCATTTGCTGTATTTTCTTTTAAACAATAGTTGGCTTTTGTTTTGTTGTGGCTGGCCACCATGTGAAACTTTTGTGTGTGTCTGTATACCACATTTTTTTTTTTATTTTTCTCTTTTGGCTGGACTTACAATTCTCCCCCTCCAGCCAAAGGGTTTCTGCAAGTCTCACATGCATTCCATGCCAATCAACTCGGCACAAAGCTGAAGTTTTCTCCCTGTTACAACATTCGTCATCATATCAGCAGGATTTTCGTCAGTGTGAATCTTTTCCAACTTAAACTGTTGTTCTTCCACTGCTTGACGTAGCCAATGATATCTGACATCAATGTGCTTCGTGCGAGAGTGGTACATCGCGTTCTTACTCAAATCCAATGCGCTCTGACTATCGCAATGGATATCGTACCTTTCCTGCTTCATTCCCAATTGTTGAAGAAACCTCTTCAACCAAAGCATTTCTTTTCCTGCTTCTGTCATTGCAATATACTCTGCTTCAGTAGTCGACAAGGCAACAGATTTCTGCAATTTAGATTGCCAAGATACAGCTCCTCCTGCAAATGTAAACACAAACCCTGAAGTAGATTTTCTACTATCCAGGTCACCTGCCATATCTGCATCTATATAACCTTCAAGAACTGGGTTTTCTTTTCCGAAGCTCAAGGACTTATTTGCACTGCCTTTTAGGTACCTCAAGATCCACTTCACAGCTTCCCAATGATCCTTTCCAGGATTGGAAAGATACCTGCTAACAACTCCAACCGCGTGAGCGATATCTGGTCTGGTACAGACCATGGCATACATCAAACTCCCGACTGCTGAGGAGAATGGAACACCTGCCATAACTTCTTTTTCTTCTTGATTCGTAGGACAACTTCGTTTGCTGAGCTTAAAGTGATTGGCTAACGGTGTATTGACCGGCTTAGCCGATCTCATGTTGAATCTCTCTAGAATCCGATTCACATACCGTTCTTGCGATAACCACAACCTCTTGGATTTACGGTCTCGCATGATCTGCATGCCCAAAATTTGTTTCGCATGGCCCAAATCCTTCATTTCAAAGGACTTTGCTAAATCCTTCTTCAAATCACCAATCAACTTCATATTCTGTCCCACTATCAACATATCATCTACATATAGCAAAAGGATAATGAGTCTATCACCTGGAAATTTCTTAACGAACACACAATGATCTGCATCAGTCTTGGTATATCCATGGCTCGCCATGAACGAGTCAAACCTCTTATACCACTGCCTTGGAGCTTGTTTCAATCCATACAGGCTCTTCTTCAATCTGCAAACCATGTTCTCCTTTCCAGTCTTCTCAAAACCTTTTGGTTGCTCCATGTAGATTTCTTCATCTAGGTCTCCATGAAGAAATGCAGTCTTCACATCTAGTTGTTCAAGCTCCAGATCCAAGCTAGCCACCAATCCGAGTACTACTCGAATAGAGCTCATCTTTACAACCGGAGAGAATATCTCATCAAAGTCTACTCCTCGCTTTTGTCCAAATCCTTTCACAACTAAGCGAGCCTTGTACTTCAACAGATTGTCCCCATCTTTCTTAAGCTTGAACACCCATTTATTCTTCAAGGCTTTTCTGCCTTCCGGAAGCTTCACAAGCTCATAAGTTTCGTTTTTCATCAGTGAATCCATTTCTTCTTGCATGGCTTTCATCCACTGGGATTTATCCTTATGAGTCTGAACTTCTTCAAAGCTTTCGAGCTCCCCTTCTTCAGTGACGGTAATATATGTGGAACTAGGGTATCTCGTAGACGGTTGTACCGCTCGACTTGATCTCCGGAGCTGTGGTGGAGCTTCGAGGTCTTCCTGCTCGACACCTTCACTACCGCCATCTTTTATTGCTGGCTCGTCATCAACCCTGAGTTCTCCATCACACTCTCCCCCTGCTGTGGCATCTCTAGGAGGTTTGATAGGTGAAAGATCCACCTTTCCACTTGGTTCTCTGATTTCTGGTG